TGACTGATCATCCACTGTTACAAGAGGAAAAATTCCAAACATTGTAAGTTTTACTTCTCATCCCTAAAACAACTATCCAGGTAAACAACAATTTCCAGAGAGTTCCACCTGTTCAATTTTAAGTCAGTGCATTTCATTAGAAAAATTCTATTATTTCATCTGAAGGACTCAGCAGCTCATCATTCATTCAACCAGCAAATACATGCTGCATATTTACTACATGCCAGGTACTCTATGGGCTACAAAATATGATTCTTACCTGAAAGAGTTACAATTAATCCAAGGAATAAGACATGTATCAAAAATCCTCCAGAATGGTAAAAGTACCATCCAAGTGAAACAAATGAACTGCTCCAGGAGCAATTTGGGAGGCCAAGAAGAAAGCTCACTTTCCAGATCAGGTATGAAAAGGAAAGGTAAGTTCTGGATTGAATAATGAAGGATTATAAAAGTTCTAATATTAGAAAAAGGTAAGGGAGGGCTTTCTGAGAAAAAGGTATAGCATGAATAGAATTAAGAACACAGGGTAGTGTTCCACAAAGACTGAATTTTTCCAGCAGGGACAATGTATGGGTGTTTTGGTAGGGGAGAAATAAGAATGAAGGCTAGACATTAGGATAGGCCAGAGTGAAGTGGATTTTGAATGCCATGCTAAAAAGCATGAAATTTATCATATGGATAATGAAGTAATACTAATGACTTATGAGCAAAGGACAAACAGAAGTAAATGGTACTTGAGAAAAATTAATCTGATAATGGTAAACAAGAGGGACTGGAATGGGGTAGCTGAGAGGCAGGAAGACCAGTTAGCTAACTATAACAGTTCTGGTAAAACAGAAAGGACAATGAACCCAGAATAATAATAATGGAATTCTTTATATGGTAAGGCAGTTTATAATTTTTTGTATTTCTATATATTTTGTGGGACTTTCATATCAATTAACTGCCCAAATCAATCCAAGGGGTCCCAATCCTGAGAACCTATAAATGCCTATACAAGCAAGTACTGTTATTCTAAAATCTGCACACCAAAGGGGTTATCTGACACATAGTCATGTACCAAATCGAAGAGCAGGGTTCATCTTCCAAAAATCACAATCTAGTTACTATCAGCCCTAGAAGGTACACATTATTTCTATACTAACATTTAGCAATGCACTAGGGAAGTGACAAACAAAAATGTCCTGAGGATAAATATTTTTTGCATTTTTTTCTTTCCATCATCTTTATCAGTGCAGATATTTGCATGAAAACAGGATCACTGGTCTTTAGGGATTCATCAGTTCCTATTGCTTATTTTTCATCCATGTCATCCTCTCAATTAATGCAAGAAAGAGGACTGAGACATTGAAACACCAGATTAGGGTGTCAAGTAAATGTCAACCCCTAGAGCAGATGAATAATCTGTAAGGACAAAAAAAAAGATCATGTTTTTATGCAAATACACGATACACAATAAAACAAAGACAGACAGTATCCAAGAAGTCCAATACACCTCAATGTAACTCTTTACAATTCTAAATTTAAAAGCTATTTTCTACATGTCAGCTAATTCATTATGATAGGGAAAATGATAATCGGCTGCAAAGCACTGCTACAGAAGTTGAAATACAGCTAAATTTTGAACTAGAAAATAATTTTGAGAAATCTCCATTGTGCTCATGGAACTCATCTGGCAGAAGGAAGAATTTCTTTTGCAGAATTTTGGTTCAGTGTTTATGGTGGCCGAATAAGATGATTTCAAATTCCCACCTTCAAAGCCTTAAATTTTAGAAATATATATAACAATAATAATGATTTTAACTGTGCGGGTTAAAAACCAAAACTAAAACAAACCACACCAAGTTTCTGAACTGTGGAAAGCTGTTAAGATAGACTTTACTAATGCTTAGGAACTGAGTCTTTGATTTTAAAAACTGATTAAGAGAAAGAATCATTTATCTAATAAGAACAGCTTCCAAGGTGATAATAAATAGCTGATAAAGAAAAATCATAGAAAATGTTCTTTACAGAAAAATCTAGCTAATAAAGGAATGACAGAATTAGAATATTACCATTTTGCAACCTGTAATAAAATTGTGGCTGAAGGTAGTTATCAAAGGCTGCTAAAACTCTGGGTGTAAGGCTGATGGAGAATTTTACAATGAACAATAGATCAGCTAAAAATACCTTTATGAACTAATTAATCTTAACATCACAAAAAGAGACATGCAGACATGAGGTGCCTTCTGATTAATGTATACACCATTTATGAAATATTCTTGCCAATAAAAATAAATCCTGTATCTGTATAAGCTTCTAGATCTAAGTACCAGGAAATAAAAAGGGATACATATATTAAGAGATATATTAAATACTACTACAGGGATATAAATAACAAAATCCAGGGTATTGAAAATTCTACAGGACAAATAACAAGGTTTAACGAATGGCAAAGGAAAATAAAAGAGAGGTGGGAACTATGACAGATTAAAGAAAACTTAAGACACATACCAATCAAATACAGTACCTGAACCTTACTTAGATTCTGATTCAGACAAACCAACTGTATAAAGAGAATGAGTCAACCAGGGAAATCTGACTGGCTATAATAGTATGATATTAAGCAAGGCTATGTGAAATTTTTTATGCATAATAATGGAGCTGAGATTATCTATTTTAAAGAGAGTCCCTGACTTTTAGAATTAGTTGACCTTTGAACAACACAGAGGGGTGGGATGCTAACCCCTGACCTCAGCCACACAGTTGAAAATCTTCAAAAAACCTTTTAACTCTCCAAAAACTTAACTACTAATAGCTTATTACTGATCAGAAGCCTTACTGATAACATAAACACATATTTTCTATGTTATATGTATTATACACTCTATTCTTAAAAGAAAGTACATAGAGAAAAGAAAATGTTTTTTCTAATTGTTGCATATCTCCAAAGTTTTTCCAATATATTTATTGAAAAAAATCTGAGTATAAGTGACCCATGCAGTTCAAGCCTGTGTCGTTCAAAGGTTAGCTAGTACATGTAAAGTTACTTGACAATGAGGTAACATCATGCCTGAGATTTTCTTTAAAATAGATACAAGAGGTTGTATAAGTGAAAAAGATTGGTCATATGTTGACTACTGAAGCTGGGTTGTGGGTACCTGAGTCACTATTCTATTCTTTCTACTTTGGCACATGTTTATATTTTCCATAATAAAAAGGTGGGGGAAAAGTATTATATTTCTCAGCAGCAATACAGAAAAAGAAACACTAATCAGAAGGGATATAGCAATTTCAATTACAACTAACTAGAGACAATACTGTTGATAAGCACATTTGATACTATACCACCTTCTTGATATAATAAGCATAAAATTAATTATAAAAAAACTGACACAGGGATAAAGGATTGATCATTATGACCAATCACAGCATTTATTTTTATTATCCAAAGCTAGAAACAGAATCAAGTTCTACACAAGTCTTGTATTCATGAATTTAACAATCAGATTTACCTTTCATTATAAACTCTAGAGGTCCACTGTCATACCTGCTAAACAGTAATTTTGCCAAGACATAACTTCAATCATGAGAAACAAATGACCAGTACACAGAGAAGAGTTAGGTGACAATGAGTACACCTAGACTACCTGCAACCATATCTCAAAACAGTCTATTGTTCTCTGCTCCTTGATTCATCAAGTGATTGAAAAATGTTTTCTTGGTAAAAGAAGCCAACTGCTAATGACAGTAATGGAAATAAAGAAAAGATAAAGACAGCTCAAGAAGTGATGACTATTTGAAAAAAATTAGTAGTCAAATTAGATTTTAATTAAAGTGAAATGCTGAACATGGCACTAACTTAAATCAATGGTGTTAACAGATCCACTATATGCTGTATAAAAAAAACAATTTATGAAACTGTTTTTGGGATTGTTCTAATTAGTACAAAACTTGCATTTTTGAAGGAAATTATAAGCTATGGTAGTCTTTCAAAACCACAGATTTATGAAGGTCTCAAGAGGTACCCAGAGAACAAAATTCTAAGCACTGTATTTATGTTGAGTATCTTTCAATTACAGAGTGAGAATTTTCTACAATTCTTTTTCCAGTTTTATAATGGATACAATATGGGAAGAGATACAATATATAAAGAAATAATTTTAAACTAAAAGAATGGAGAGCAGACAGGAATAAATGAGAACTTTTAAAACATTACTCATAATAGCAAATTATGTTCTTGGTCTACTATACACCCCTTCCTTTGGGGAAGCAATCCTCCCCTCCCAATCCATGTGATTTGAGTCAGACTAACCTTTCCACTCTCTGTCTGCACCCAGGACTCAGGCTTGGCCTATCAGAATGCTCCGTGCTACCTGGCTAAAGAACTGGTTCTAGGATAGGTATATATGAGCCATGATGGAACAGTCAGAGTTCTCCCCAAACCTTTCTTTTGGAATGTTCAGAAAAGACACTCTTTTTGGATCATTATGAGATCTAAAGACACATGAACTGGACCTCCTTTTGGTCACCTTCCCCAGTGCTAAGTCAGAGAACAAGAGTAATGTATGAGTGAAGCAGAGGTTTGAGATGTGAAACAAAAGCAAGAACCAGAGCACATTCCAGTGCTATCATTAAGAGTCATGGATCTACAGATCCTCAAAGCTATTTCTACTCTGGGAATTTTGATTTATGTGAACTAATAAAGTCCCTCTTTTCTTAAGCTAGTTTGATTTGACATTCTATCACTTAAAACTGAGAGGATTCCCAATATACTTAAACTGTATAGAGAAAAATAACTTATTATTTAGCAAACTCAATAATTATTCTGGCACACTCTGCCATAAAAGACACACTTTAGATAACAATGACTTTTTACCTTCAGAACAGTGATAAAGAGTAATAAAATAATTACATTAGTAGTAAATCATTAGTAATAAAGACACTTTCTGAATTATAGCTAGAATGCATCATGAAATATACAACACACATCCCTGAATAAATGTGATCTGGGTACTCACACTCATCCAGCCCCAGCTGATAGGCCAGGTTCTGTAGGCCTCGTACCTTCTCCATCAAATTAGCCGTGGTGAGGCTCCCCAGTTCTGAAACAGAATCATTTATATACTAGGTTTTTCCACTGTTCTCTAGTAACAATTTATTCTGGTTGGGAGTCCTTGTTATTAAAAGTTTTGAAGCTTAATTCTATCAAATAACTAAAAATTGGGCCTATTATCTCTTCTCATTCAATCTTTCCCTGTACACACACACACACACACACACACACACACACACACACACACACACAAAACTGGTGAATTTTCCTACTACTGCAAAATGCCTCAGATGAGCTTGCCTACTTAATGAGGAGAATGTTAGCATACATACAATAGCAAATTATGGGTTCTACCCTAAGGATCTTTTTATAACATTCTGCCTATCATACAAAATGAATGCACCATTAAAATATGAAACCTTGTGATTTGACATAGAATCAAGAAAGCTTCACAGACACCTCTTACACTGTCTCCACTATCATTTATAAGTCCTCATATTACAAAACACAAAATAGTAACGAAACCCTTACTCTTCCCCATTTCCCTAAGTTTAGAAAACAAATACTAAATATTAACCCAAATTTTCCCTTCAAATCAAACTCCTATAAAAAATGTTTAAGTTTCCCAGATGAAAAGACAGTACACTTAAAGTAAAAACTCACTTTCTCAGATTTTCATTTAAATAACACCCAATTTCTTTGAGGTTTAAGATACAGGTCAATTTGCATAGAATATAATGCTATGATTCTGTATTAGAAGTTTCCTTAGAAAATACATACTGATGGAATATTATATAAATGCCCGTTTGGAACATTAGAACAATAAACCTGAGATGCAACATTAGAACAATAAACTTGAGATGCCCTTGAGACTTAATTTTTCCATGGTTGGACGAGGGGATCTACATTAAAGCATTTCATGCAAAACAATGAATTACTTCTGAGATCAAATAAAGGTGTTTTCTTCCACATATCACACCACACTCATTATCTATATCTGGCATTAGCAGACTTTCTTGATCTGTTCAGCTGCTTAAACAGCTCAAGAATTCCAGATTTTTACCTTAACTTCAGTCTATTATTTCATAATCATTATGAATCTTAACACTGGCAAGATGATAAAAAAATTAAATAAATAAAGTAGAGCAAAAGCTAGGAAAATTAATGTTTTTTAATTTAAATTTCCACTTTGTGGTTGAGTTCCAAGTCATTTATCAACCAACAATAATCACTACCTACAGTATTCTTTATGGGAAAAATTGATGGTATACAAAGAATTAAAAGACAGGTCTTAATCCAGCAAGGGGCTGTCAATTAATAGTCCTGACAACAATATATGACAGTAAATCCTACAAAAGGCACTTTAATTATAGCAGTAATGGACTAGACTTATAAGATCAAAGTTTAAATTTAAACTCTTTCTAATAAATCTTGGTTAAGTTAACCTCTGAACCTTAGATATGATCATACCTAACTCACAGAAGTTATGCAAGAATTAAATGAGAAATTTGCATGAGAGCTTTTTGTTAATTGTAAGCATTATACAAAATAAAGTTAATATTAAAGGAATTTAGTAGCAGAAAACATTATTATAACAGGGTCTTGAAGAGATTTCTACATATGGAAAAGTAGAGAAAGGCATTCAGACATGAAGAACTATGAATAAGGATGGTTAAAATAACAGTTTGAGTGAAGCTGAGAATAGCTGTGAGGGGAGAGTGGGAGAAAAACTAGCATGGTGGAGAAAAAATTAGAAAATTAGCAGAGGAACATAAACATCAGGTTAAAAGTTACAGGTGACAAGCATTACTTACCTTTCAACATGTCAATATCATCACGTTCTATTTCAGCCATCCATTTGGGTGGAGAGCTAGTAATAGGCTGTTTGAAAATAAGAACATATCCATTCAGATACATACAAGTGTGAAGAGACTCTTCTCTTTCTTCTTATCAGAAAAGTAGCCTGTCACACAGCTTTCAGGGTGTTTGAAAAACACTGGCAAACTTTAATTTCAAAAACCCATATTTCCCCAGGTTTAGATAGGGCCTATAAATAGTCACCTTACAAAATAATACTGCTTATCTTTAAAGTTGGTCTCAGAGAAATAATCTTGGAAGAATTAGATCTGACTACTGTTACTATTTCACACATAATGGGTTAGTACAGCAATGAAAGAAATTACTTGAAATTCAGTTCTGGTGAAAGTCTCTAACTGAACTGTTTCAACCACTTATCAATAACACTCTCTGGCACAGAAGATTTAAAGGGGAATCAAGAATGGAAAATAAAAAGAAAGAAAATTCTTAATTTGTAGGAAGACTGCAGTAATAGTCACTTGAAATTTCATTTTATTGTAGATGTTTTATAAAACTTTAGAATTTTAAGTTATCTTCTCATTTCTAGAAGTGAACTTACAAAATATGAAAGAGAACTCAGTCTTAGAACAACTTTGGGCAACAGTTTCCAATCCTAGCTACACAAGAGAGTCACCTACATAACAAAAAAGTACAGTGATGGGGCCCACACCTGCTGTATGACTTAGAACAGCAGGGGTTCGGGGGAGGGTCCAGTGGAGAGAACAGAGCAAGGGACATTACACATGTATTCTTTAAAAACTCCACAATAGCACACCGATGATGCTGTTATGCAGGTAGGTGTATGGTTAAGAACCATTATTTCAGCTTTGAGGCTCTTTCTTTTTCTTAAAAAAAAAAAAAATTAGTATTTGCTTGGTACCGTGACAAAGAAAACACATTTCATATATCATGTAATTTAATTTCCAAATCAACCCAATAAAGCAGGTACTTTCATTCTCATTTTATAAATGAAAAAAAAAACCGATGTAGAGGAACATTATAAATCACTTGCTCAATGGAGAAAAGATGGCAGTGTGAGTAGGGTGACAAAAATACAGCAAATATAACTATTCCTAAAAGAGTGACCAGAAGACACAGTACAACAGCCAGGCTACATCTGAGAGAACCCAGCATCTCAGGGAAAAGGCTAAGATACAACGCCAGAACCCAGTGGGACCAGAGCACTGCCCCCACCACAGCTGACCAGCGGGAGAAAAAGAATTAGAGCGGAGAGGGAGTGGAAGCACAGGACTGCTAAATAACCAGCCCTAGTAATCTGCCCTGGGAGCACAGACACACATTGCATGGTAAACTCACTTTCTCAGATTTTCATTTAAATAACACCCAATTTCTTTGAGGTTTAAGATACAGGTCAATTTGCATAGAATATAATGCTATGATTCTGTATTAGAAGTTTCCTTAGAAAATACATACTGATGGAATATTATATAAATGCCTGTTTGGAACATTAGAACAATAAACCTGAGATGCAACATTAGAACAATAAACTTGAGATGCCCTTGAGACTTAATTTTTCCATGGTTGGACGAGGGGATCTACATTAAAGCATTTCATGCAAAACAATGAATTACTTCTGAGATCAAATAAAGGTGTTTTCTTCCACATATCACACCACACTCATTATCTATATCTGGCATTAGCAGACTTTCTTGATCTGTTCAGCTGCTTAAACAGCTCAAGAATTCCAGATTTTTACCTTAACTTCAGTCTATTATTTCATAATCATTATGAATCTTAACACTGGCAAGATGATAAAAAAATTAAATAAATAAAGTAGAGCAAAAGCTAGGAAAATTAATGTTTTTTAATTTAAATTTCCACTTTGTGGTTGAGTTCCAAGTCATTTATCAACCAACAATAATCACTACCTACAGTATTCTTTATGGGAAAAATTGATGGTATACAAAGAATTAAAAGACAGGTCTTAATCCAGCAAGGGGCTGTCAATTAATAGTCCTGACAACAATATATGACAGTAAATCCTACAAAAGGCACTTTAATTATAGCAGTAAGGGACTAGACTTATAAGATCAAAGTTTAAATTTAAACTCTTTCTAATAAATCTTGGTTAAGTTAACCTCTGAACCTTAGATATGATCATACCTAACTCACAGAAGTTATGCAAGAATTAAATGAGAAATTTGCATGAGAGCTTTTTGTTAATTGTAAGCATTATACAAAATAAAGTTAATATTAAAGGAATTTAGTAGCAGAAAACATTATTATAACAGGGTCTTGAAGAGATTTCTACATATGGAAAAGTAGAGAAAGGCATTCAGACATGAAGAACTATGAATAAGGATGGTTAAAATAACAGTTTGAGTGAAGCTGAGAATAGCTGTGAGGGGAGAGTGGGAGAAAAACTAGCATGGTGGAAAAAAAATTAGAAAATTAGCAGAGGAACATAAACATCAGGTTAAAAGTTACAGGTGACAAGCATTACTTACCTTTCAACATGTCAATATCATCACGTTCTATTTCAGCCATCCATTTGGGTGGAGAGCTAGTAATAGGCTGTTTGAAAATAAGAACATATCCATTCAGATACATACAAGTGTGAAGAGACTCTTCTCTTTCTTCTTATCAGAAAAGTAGCCTGTCACACAGCTTTCAGGGTGTTTGAAAAACACTGGCAAACTTTAATTTCAAAAACCCGTATTTCCCCAGGTTTAGATAGGGCCTATAAATAGTCACCTTACAAAATAATACTGCTTATCTTTAAAGTTGGTCTCAGAGAAATAATCTTGGAAGAATTAGATCTGACTACTGTTACTATTTCACACATAATGGGTTAGTACAGCAATGAAAGAAATTACTTGAAATTCAGTTCTGGTGAAAGTCTCTAACTGAACTGTTTCAACCACTTATCAATAACACTCTCTGGCACAGAAGATTTAAAGGGGAATCAAGAATGGAAAATAAAAAGAAAGAAAATTCTTAATTTGTAGGAAGACTGCAGTAATAGTCACTTGAAATTTCATTTTATTGTAGATGTTTTATAAAACTTTAGAATTTTAAGTTATCTTCTCATTTCTAGAAGTGAACTTACAAAATATGAAAGAGAACTCAGTCTTAGAACAACTTTGGGCAACAGTTTCCAATCCTAGCTACACAAGAGAGTCACCTACATAACAAAAAAGTACAGTGATGGGGCCCACACCTGCTGTATGACTTAGAACAGCAGGGGTTCGGGGGAGGGTCCAGTGGAGAGAACAGAGCAAGGGACATTACACATGTATTCTTTAAAAACTCCACAATAGCACACCGATGATGCTGTTATGCAGGTAGGTGTATGGTTAAGAACCATTATTTCAGCTTTGAGGCTCTTTCTTTTTCTTAAAAAAAAAAATTAGTATTTGCTTGGTACCGTGACAAAGAAAACACATTTCATATATCATGTAATTCAATTTCCAAATCAACCCAATAAAGCAGGTACTTTCATTCTCATTTTATAAATGAAAAAAAAACCGATGTAGAGGAACATTATAAATCACTTGCTCAATGGAGAAAAGATGGCAGTGTGAGTAGGGTGACAAAAATACAGCAAATATAACTATTCCTAAAAGAGTGACCAGAAGACACAGTACAACAGCCAGGCTACATCTGAGAGAACCCAGCATCCCAGGGAAAAGGCTAAGATACAACGCCAGAACCCAGTGGGACCAGAGCACTGCCCCCACCACAGCTGACCAGCGGGAGAAAAAGAATTAGAGCGGAGAGGGAGTGGAAGCACAGGACTGCTAAATAACCAGCCCTAGTAATCTGCCCTGGGAGCACAGACACACATTGCATGGTGCTCTGCATATTAGAGCAGAAAAGCAAAATCCCAGACTAAGACTGTAAACAGGTTCCACATCCAGCTACCCTGGGACATAAGAAAAGCAGGAGCTTTAAAAGTCTTAAAGGAACAAGGGTTTAACAGGTGGACAAAACTGTCCTGGCACATTCAGCCCAGCAGGTTGGGGACTTTAAGTAACTTCAGAGGCCCTATTCCCCTGATTGGCAATGCAACTCCAAGGCCCCTAACAGTAATAAGCAGCCTGCTGTTCATTCCTCCCCACCAGCATCTGTGAGCAAACCAGCTGTCCCCACCATTGCTGCAGACCAGCTGGACAGCAGCCCCACCTACAACAACCACTCAGCTTAACACAGAGGCTTCTCCCTGCATGGGGCTAACCAGCCCAGACTGGGAGCCTGCTCCCTGCATGCGGTTGACTGGAACAGACAGCAGAGAGAGTCATGGAGACCGGGAGCATGAAGGGGCTTTGTTCTAGCAGCAGAACACACACCACTCTCCTGTGACCCCCGCCAGCGCCCTAGGCCATCCCGAAGGCAGTTCCACCCATGGAAGCATAGGGGATTAACCCAGAGACTGCTCCCTGCATGCAGTTGACTGGCACAGACAGAGGAGACAGGCGCAGAGGCCAGGAGGCATGAAGGAGTTTTGTTCTTGTGGCAGAACACGAACCCCACACTTGCAACTCCTGCCAGTGCCCTAAGCCAACCCGAGGACCACCCTGCTCATGGCAGCTTGGAGGATTAACCCAGAGGCTGCTCTCTGCATGTGGTTGATGAGCAGAGACAGCAGAGACAGGCGTGGAGACCAGGAGGCACAAAGGTGCTCTGTTTTCATGGAAGAACATGCAATGCTGGCCCGCAAACCCAGCCAGGATCCTAGGCCATCCCTAGGGCCACTACACCCACAGTAGCTTAGGAAATTAACCCACAGGCAGCTCCCTGCACACAGTTGACCACAACAGACAGAGGAGATGGGTGCAGAGACTGGGGGGCAAAAAGGGACGTTGTCCTTGTGGCAGACACATGCACTGCTGGCCAGTGAACAGGCCAGTGCCATAGGCCATCCTGAGGGCTGTCCCACCCACGGCAGCCTAGGGAATTAACCCACAGGTTTTTCCCTGTGTGTGGTAAACTGGCACAGACAGCGCAAACAGGCAAGGCGACTGGCAAGCAGGAAGGGAATTTGTTCTCCCAGCTGACACACGTGCCACTCACCAGAGAACACTCCCATTGTCATGACAAGGTAGAAGAACCTTGTTCAATCCAAAATCCCTCAGACACTAGAGAGAGGGCTTGGAGAGACTGAAATCACCAATCTTACTGAAAAAGAATTCAAAATAAAAGTCCTAAGCATGCTGATGGAGCTACAGAGAAATATTCAAGAGCTAAGGGATGAATTCCAGAGGGAGATAAACGAAATGAAACAAACAATGGAAGGATTTAAGATCAGACTAGATGAGGTGGAAGAGACTGTTAATGGAATAGAAATCAGAGAACAGGAATACAGAGAAGCTGAGGCAGAGACAGATAAAAGGACCTCTAGGAATGAAAGACTATTAAGAGAACTGTGTGACAAATCCAAATGGAACAATATTCACATTATAGGGTACCAGAAGAAGAAAGAGAAAAACAGATAGGAAGTGTCTTTGAAGAAATAATTGCTGAAAACTTCCTCAAGCTCGGGAAGGAAACAGTCTCTCAGACCATGGAAGCCCATAGATCTCCCAACACAAGGGACCCAAAGAGGACAACACCAAGACATGTAATAATTAAAATGGGAGAGATCAAAGACAAGGACAGAGTATTAAAGGCAGCCAGAGAGAGAAAAAGATCATCTACAAAGGAAAACCCATCAGGCTATCATCAGACTTTTCAGGAGAGACCTTACACACCAGAAGGGAATGGCATGATACATTCAATGCAATGAAACAGAAGGGGCTCAAACTGAGAATAAGGTATCCAGCAAGATTATAATTTAAATTTGAAGGAGAAATTAAACAATTCCCAGATAAGCAAAACTCAAAGGAATTTACCTCTGACAATCCATCTCTACAGTGTATTTTAAAGGAACTGCTCTAGATGGAAGTATGCCTAAGGCTAAATAGCTGTCACCAGAGAAAATAAAACTACAGCAAAGGAAGCAGACCAACTAAATACTAACTAAATGCAAAACAAAATCAGCTATTCACAAAGTCAGTCAAGGGAAACACAACGGAAACAGAAAAGAGTACAGAACACAACACCTAACATATAAAGAGTAAAGGAGGAAGAAAAAGAAGGGAGAGAAATAAAGAATCATCACACTGTGCTTATAATAGTGGAATAAATGAGTTATGTTAGATGGTTAGATAGTAAAGAAGCTGCCCTTGAACCTTTGGTAACCACAAATCCAAAACCTGCAATGGCAATAAGTACATATCTATTGATAATCACCCTAACTGTAAATGGACTGAATGCACCAATCAAAAGACATAGAGTTACAAAATGGATAAAAAAGAAAGACCCATCTATATGCTGCCTACAAGAGACTCACCTCAAACACAAAGACATACACAGACTAAAACTGAAGGGATGGAAAAAGATATTTCATGCAATTAATAGGGGAAAAAAACAGGTGTTGCAGTACTTGTATCATACAAAACAAATTTCAAAACAAAGAAACTAACAAGAGACAAAAGAAGGACATTACAAAATAATAAAGGGGTCAGTGTAACAAGAGGATATAACCATTATAAACATCTATGCACCCAACACAGGAGCAACTACATATATGAAACAAATACTAACAGAATTAAAGGAGGAAATAGAATGCAAAGCATTCATTTTAGGAGACTTCAACACACCACTCACTTCAATGGACAGATCAACCAGACAGAAAATAAGTAAGGACACAGAGGCACTGAACAACACACTAGAACAGATGAACCTAACAGATATCTACAGAACTCTACACCCAAATGCAGCAGGATACACATTCTTCTGAAGTGCACATGGAATATTTTTCAGAATAGACCACATACTGGACCACAAAAAGAATCTCAGTCAATTCAAAATGATTGAAATTGTACCAACCAACTTTTCAGATCACAAAGGTTTAAAACTAGAAATAAATTGTACAAAGAAAACAAAAAGGCCCACAAACACATCGAGGCTTACCAACATGCTCCTAAATAATCAGTGAATCAGTGACCAAATTAAACAGAGATCAAGCAATATATTTAGACAAATGAAAACAACAGCACAATGTCCCAACTTCTGTGGGATGCAGTGAAGGCAGTTCTAAGAGGAAAGTATAAGCCCTATTTAAAGAAAGAACAATCCCAAATGAATACTTTAAAGTCACAATTATTGAAACTGGAAAAAGAAGAACACATGAGGCCCAAAGTCAGTAGAAGAAGGGACATAATAAAGATCAGAGAAGATATAAATAAAATTGAGAAGAATAAAACAATAGAAAAAAATTAATTAAACTAAGAGCTGATTCTTTGAGAAAATAAACAAAATAGATAAACCTGTAGCCAGTCTTATTAAGAAAAAAAGAGAATCTACACACATAAACAGAATCAGAAATGAGAAAGGAAAAATCACGACAGACACACAGAAATACAAATAATTATTAGAGAACACTATGAAAAATTACATGCTAAAAAAACTGGATAACCTAGAAGAAATGGACAACTTTCTAGAAAAATACAACCATCCAAGAGTGACCAAGGAAGAAACAGAAAATCTAAACAGACCCATTACCAGCAATGAAATTGAATCGGTAATCAAAAAACTACACAAGAACAAAACTCTCATACCAGATGGATTCACCACTGTATTTCATCAGACATTTAGAGAAGACATAATACCCATTCTTCTTAAAGTTTTCCAAAAAATAGAGGAGGAGGGAATACTTCCAAACTCATTCTATGAAGCCAGCATCACTCTAATATCAAAACCTGGCAAAGACACCACAAAAAAAGAAAACTACAGACCAATATCCCTGATGAACATAGATGCAAAAACACTCAACAAAATATTAGCAAGCCGAATTAAAAAATACATCAAGAGGATCATACCAAGTGGGATCCATCCCAGGGATGCAAGGATGCTACAACATTCGAAAATCCATCAACATCATCCACCACCTCAACAAAAAGGACAAAAACCACACAATCATCTCCAGAGACATTGAAAAGCAGTCGACAAAATTCAACATCCATTCATGATAAAAACTCTCAACAAAATGGGTATAGAAGGCAAGTACCTCAACATAATAAAGGCCATATATGATAAACCCACAGCCAACATCATACTGAACAGTGAGAAGTTGAAAGCTTTTCCCCTTCCCCAAGATAAGGATGCCTACTCTCCCTGCTTTTATTCAACACAGTACTGGAGGTCCTAGCCACAGCAATCAGACAGCACAAAGAAATAAAAGGCATTCAGATTGGTAAGGATGAAGTCAAACTGCCACTGTTTGCAGATTACATAATATTGTACAGAAAAAAACCTAAAGAATCCACTCCAAAACTACTAGAACTAATATCGGAATTCAGCAAAGCTGCAGGACACAAAATTAAATCATAGAAATCTGTGACATTCCTATACATTAACGATGAACTAGCAGAAAGAGAAATCAGGAAAACAATTCCATTCACAATTACATCAAAAAGAATAAAATACCTAGACATAAACCTAACCAAGGAAATGAAAAACCTACACCCTGAAAACTACAAGAAACTCTTAAGAGAAATTAAAGAAGACACTTAATAAATGGAAATTCATCCCATGCTCTAGGGTTGGAAGAATTAATATTGTCAAAATGGCCATCCTGCCTAAAACAATCTATAAATTCAATGCAATCCCTATCAAAATACCAACAGCATTCTTCAACGAACTGGAATAAATAGTTCTAAAATTCATATGGAACCACAAAAGACCCCGAATAGCCAAAGCAATCCTGAGAAAGAAGAATAAAGCAGGGGGCATCTCGCTTCCCAACTTCAAGCTCTACTACAAAGCCACAGTAATCAAGACAATTTGGTACTGGCACAAGAACAGCCCTATAGACCAGTGGAACAAAATAGAGGGTCCAGATATTAACGCAAGCATACATGGTCAATTAATATATGATAAAGGAGCCATGGATATACAATGGGGAAATAACAGCCTCTTCTACAAGTGGTGTTGGCAAAACTGGGCAGCTACATGTAAGAGAATGAAACTGGATTACTGTCTAACTCCATACACAAAAATAAACTCAGAATGGATCAAAGACCTGAATGTAAGTCATGAAACCATAAAACTCTTAGAAGAAAACATAGGCAAAAATCTCTTGAATATAAACATGAGCAACTTCTTCATGACCGTATCTCCCTGGGCAAGGGAAACAAAAGCAAAAATGAACAAGTAGGACTATATCAAACTAAAAAGCTTCTGAACAGCAAACAGGACTATCATTAGAACAAAAAGGCATCCTACACTATGGAAGAATATATTCATAAATGACATATCCAATAAGGGTTGACATCCAAAATATATAAAAGGCTCATGCACTTCAACAAACAAAAAGCAAATAATCCAATTAAAAAATAGTCAAAGGATCTGAACAGACACTTTTCCAAAGAAGAAATTCAGATGGCCAACAGGCACATGAAAAGATGCTCCACATTGCTAATCATCAGGGGAATGCAAATAAAAACAACAATTAGATATCACCTCACCCCAGTTAGGATGGCCACCATCCAAAAGACAAACAACAACAAATGTTGACAAGGATACAGAGGAAAGGGAACCCTCCCAGACTGCTGGTGGGAATGTAAATTAGTTCAACCATTGTGGAAAGCAGTATGGAGGTTCTTCAAAAAACTGAAAATAGAAATACCATTTGACCCAGGAATCCCGTTCCTAGGAATTTACCCTAAGAATGCAGCAGCCCAGTTTGAAAAAGACATATGCACCCCTATGTTTATCACAGCACTAAATGTCCATCAGTAGGTGAATGGATAAAGAAGATGTGGTACATATACACAATGAAATATTATTCAGCCTTTAGAAGAAAACTAATCCTACCATCTGCAACAACACGGATGGAGCTAGAGGGTATTATGCTCAGTGAAATAAGCCAGGCAGAGAAAGACAAGTATCAAATGATTTCACTCATCTGTGGAGTAGAAGAACAAAGCAAAAACAAGGAACAAAACAGCAGCAGACTCACAGAACCCAAGAATGGAGTAACAGTTACCAAAGGGAAAGGGACTAGGGAGAATGGGTAGGATGGGAGGGTTAAGGGGAAAAAGGGGCGTTACGATTAGCACACATAATGTGGGCCAGGGGTGGTGGTGGACATGGGGAAGGCAGTATAGCACAGGGAAGTAGTGACTCTATAGCATCTTACTATGCTGATGGACAGTGACTGTGGTGGGTATGTGATGGGTACTTGATAATGGAGGGAAACTAGTAACCACAATGTTGCTCATGTAATTGTATATTAATAATAGCAAAATAAAAATAAATAAATAAATCACTTGGTCAGGTCACGCAGCCACTGGAACCAGGATTCAAAACCCATGACCTTTCAGTTCAGAAACCACTCTTCTATATTACCTCCCCTATAAAGGTCTAGATCAAATTCGACATTTTTCCCCTAGTAGGGAAACAGACTATACTAGGGTATCTTAACCTGGAGTCTTGGGATGACCCTGAACTCCTAGAAACAAAACTCAATATGCATGCTTCAAGGGAAGATTAATCAGATTTTGAAAACCGAAAACTTTTAAAGATTTTTAAAAATTTATTTATACTTTTAACTCAAAATACTTAGTTGTTACCAAATACAATTTTCTAAACTGAAGAGTCAGTTTGAATGAGAATGTAAGAAAACTATATCAGGTACCTTCTACTTAATCTACTGAACAAAAGCTGCTCTAATAATGACAGCTACTGTGTATTTTTTCTTATGTGCCAGGCACTGTGCAAAGTGGTTCTCAAGCATTATGGCATTTGATACTAAATCCTGTGAGGCAGTTTCAGAAGAGAAAACTAAGGCTCAAAGATGTTAGGAAACTTGCTTGGTCACAGATATTAAGTAGCAAATTGAGGACTCAAATCCAAATGTGTTTGAATACAAAGCCCTACACTAACTAATCTGAACTGCCAGTGCTTATTTCTTACTGAATGCTAAAGGAGCACAGGCTAAGTTTTACACAACCCTAGTTCTTGAAGAAATGAAAGACTGGGTACAAAACCAAGCTGTCTCTGAACAAACACTATCATGGGACCTGAAAGCCACAGACTTAGAGAGGCTGTAAGTCAGCACCTTTAACTCCAGTAATGAGTAGAGAATGTTAAACATATAGTAAGATACTATGAGTTATATTACAAATCCCCAATGACAAGGTTTAATGGAAAGAGCATGGACTTTGGAATCAGAGAGATTTGAGATTAAATCCTGGCCTGTTACTTACCAGGACTTGGGCAAGTAATTTAACTTCCAAGTTTCTACATCAGTCTGTGCTTTTAACACTGGGCTCAAATGCTTCTAAGTATGATGTTAAGAGTGTGGATGCTAATAGTCAAATTAATGGGTTCAAAGTCTGGTTCTGCCCCTTATCCTATAACTCTGAATAACCTAACCTAACCTCTCTGTGCTTATTTCCTTGTCTGTGAAATAGGGTTAATAATAGTACCTATATCTCACATGATTTTGTGAAGATTAAATAACATATGTAAAGTGCTCTGAACACTGTCTGGCACATGGTAAACACAATGTAAGTTCTAGCTAATATTATAATCATCATTTCTCCTGGTTGTGGAAATATATAAGAAAATATATGTAGAGTAGTCAGCACAGTGCCTGCTGGCCTGGAAGAAGAAAAGTTTGGGCTCTAGTGGCTATCTTTCTTTGGTTTCTGATGAGCCACTGAGAAATTTCAAAATCCTCTAAGGAGGTATAAGTTAAGTTCACAATACAGCACATAAGCAAAAGAGAAAGTACTAAAAATCATACTTTAAAAAAGAGGTAAAAAGAATACTGGTGTTATATTAAATATTTCAACTGCCTTACCTTAAAAATTCTCAAGCTGAGGAAAGAGGCTAATACACAAAGGTCAAAATGCCAAAAAGAGAACATTTAGACAGAGGAAGACATTATCATCAATTTATGTGATGATAATATAAACAGATTTTGAGGGCTGTACAAAATTATTTGAAGGTCATGACACTATCCTTGAAAATAAAGAAATGAGATACTTGAACTTTCACCAAGGAGCAAAGCATGGGATAAACTTCATTGGGTAAGTAATAATATTACTTACACTTTTGAAAGAAGCAGCAAATTCAGCAACACCTGGTACTAAAAAGAAAAAAATACAACATTACTTAATAAATAAACAGTTTAGTGCCTACGCCAGACATAGAGGATTCAAATAAGAAGAAGAAAATAGCCTTGTCTTCAAGGAGCTTACAGTGTGAAAAAGGAGAGAGATTGAGTCAGTAACTCTAATATTGTTTAAGTGCTCTAAGAAAGATTCCAGGTGCTATGGGAAGACCAAAAAATGGTGAGCTAAATCAGACTGAGGCAAAAGCTTCTCAGAGGAAACCATGCCTCAAGTGAACTTTGAAGGATCAGGAATTAGTTGGATGGGAAGATGGCAAGATACAGTATCTCTTACCAAAGAGTTTTATTTCATTTTTAGGTATGCTGTTCTGTCAATCCAATTGTTTGTTTAAATGTCTCACAGGAAGAATCACTTTTTAAAAAATGAAAAAAACTAGATATTTAAAAATAAAATAATGTTTAACCTTAGTAATAAGCAAATACAAACTTAAAATAATAAAGATCAGTAATCTGCAATATTGTCAATTATGTAAGTAAATGGGCACTCTCATAGACAGTCATCTTCCTCCATGAGCACAAAAATATATGTGCAAGGATATTTATGGTTAAATTGTTCCTAATATCAAAAATTGGATATAACTTAGGTTTCTAAATAGGATATGAATACATAAACTTTTACAATACATTGTAAATCTATACAATGAAAAACTTTTAAAAGAATAAAGTAGATCTATACCTACTAATATGGAAAGATCCATTAATAAATTATAAGTAGAATAAGTTAAGCTGCACACTATGTATGTCTGACCCTATCATTATACTAAATAAATAAATTGAAACCTTAAAAAACACTTATTTATTTGCTTATGTATATAAGCATAAAAAAGGTTAGATGGACTTGGACCAAATTACTAACAGTGATTTTATGAGTGATTGAAGGAAGTAACGAAATACTATATTGTCTGAGCTTACTGCAGATGTGGTTTTTAAAAATGTATTTTTTAAGGACCCTTGTCATTTCCTGAATCACATTGTGTTCCGAAAATCTTGCATCATCACACAGCTATTCTAACACTGGACCACAGAATTCAGTTTCCTTTTGAAGTAAAATTAAATTTTAAGCATTATAGCTAAATGATAACTCCTCAAACATCTTCAAAGTAGCAATGGTTCTCCTGCGTTGATTTTGACATAAAGAAATCAAAAACTTACATTGTTCTGGCCAAAGGTCTGGTGAAGCACGGTCAAGTTTTTCAAAACTTAGTAAAGATGCTTCTAGATCTGTCCCTAGAACAAAACACCCAGATGAGCCAAGAAGATACAAAACATGTTACATTTTATTACATTTCAATCTCAAAGAACATAACAAACTGGAACACTTATTTGGAAATCAAGGGATGTGAGTTTTATTAACTACTTATACTCCGGGGCTACAATGTTATACAAATAAATCATTCTCTCTCATCAAACCTCATTTTTCTAATCTCTAAAATGGGAGCGATGTTTTAGCGACATGTGAAGAAAAATTAATACCAACAAGCCCACAGGTATCTTCACTCATACTCTAAGACTTTCCTCCAGTTACAATCAATTATGTGTCTGCTCCCAAGAAAGACAAACTCCTTTCCTTGGGCTCTGGATGCTAGCTTCTTCTTTTGTCAAAGACATCATCTTGAATCATCTCCCTTGCACATCAGTTTCTACCTTCTCAAAGCAGCCAGACTATTGTGTTTTTTTTTAATATTAATAAATTCCCAGCTTGAAGAGGTGCTCAATATTAGCAACAATAGTTAACATTTGTTGAATACATATGTATGCCCAGTATGCTAACTAGTTGCATAAAATAGCTCATTTAATGATATAAACAGTTCTTAGCATTTTCTAAGTCACATCTTTGGAAACCTGAAAAAAAACCCAAAAACAATGGACTCACTCCTCAGAAAATGTACATATGTAGAAAATTTTTCAACATGTATCTTTTCTCCAAACTGAATTTTTTTCCCCAAATATTCTAAGAAAATTTCCAAGGGCATTCTAATGGGTAAAGAGCTTGATTCTAATAAATTGCTTTAACTAAAGCATTCAAAAATGGTAATCAAGAAAAGCTGTGTGTAACACAAAATTCCAATTTTCAAATTTCCAACAAATGTTACTGATCTAATAACCATAAGGGTGCCTTTATACTACCGCTGTCTGTGGTATAACTGACTCTGACATTAAGTAGTCATATGGTTTTACTTAGATTTCAAATTTTTAAAATGCTTTTTAGCCTTAAAAAGACAAATGAGTAAGTGACCTAAACTTATTTTCAAATCAAGATTATTTGAATTAAATCTTAAAAAACAGAGACAGGTGGAACACTACAGACAAAAGAGCTAGGCAGTGGAATATTTTAGAGTGAGACACTTATTTAGAAGATGAACTTAACTTCAAAGTGCTCAACTTGATTTTGTGAGATTAAGAAGAAAAGATTAGATGGAGAAGGGTGAAACTTTAAAAGATGAACATGAAAACTTTACAAAATCAAGTGTTACAGAGTGCCTGTGCAGATGGCCAGGAGACCAAAGGAAAGTAATATGTTTTCAGTATTCCTTCTGGCCAAAGAGAGGAAAAGAAATTGAGAGAAGACAGGGAAAAATCAAATACAAGGAACACAGGTCTAAAATCTCCAAAACTTCTAATAAATAGTTTTAAAAACCTAGCAACGAACAAAAAATTTAAATAGCAATTTCTTGTTCTTCTATCACTTGGCTGATTTTTTAAAATTGTGGTAAGATATACATAAAGTTTACCATTTTAATCATTTTTAAGTGTACAGTTCCATGACAATAACCATATTCACATGGTTGTACAATCATCATCACCATCCATCTCCAGAACTTTTTCACCTTCCCTGACTCAAACTCTACCCATTAAACAATAACTCCACATTCCTTTGGTTGACTTTTAAATGCCCTCCCCAACCCCAAAGAGCATCCAGTGGAAAGAATCTCTTTTGACTCTGAACATCCAATTTCTTATACAGTATGTACCTGTTCGCAAGAAATTAAAGACTTAGTTGAACTTGAAACTTAAGGCTAAGGATATATTATTTATACATATATCTATTCTTTCAATAAATGTCAAATGAAGGCCTACTGCGAGACAGACACTGTGCTAAACCCTGTGATCCAACTAGGAACAAGACAGACTCGGTATTTTTAGTCTAGCATGAGAGAGGCAAAGTTAACATAATAACTATTCTGACAGAGAAGGTATTGACATAGTAAATAATGGTGAAGAGGGGCAACTACAGATAATGTATTCTGGGAAAGCCTCTCTGGGAGGTGACATCTAAAATGAGATCTGAAACTGCAAAAGTGTTTACATGTTTGATTCATCTTTTCCTTTTCTAAAGCACTAAGCATTATGCCTTTCACACAGTAGGAACTCAATAATAGCTTTCCTAGCTTCAATTTCCTTATTCCTGAAATGAACTTCAAGTTCCTTCCAAACACAGAATGTGTTTGAGGACAGAAAACTACATATCAATGAGACGGACATGGGGATGTGAGCGGTACAAGCAAAAATTGAGCTCAGAGATGACTACAAGACCCTAACTCTCTAAAGCAGAACCCAGCGCAGAAGCATGTGGGTATACGAAAACCATTTATTATTTAAGATGATTTGCTCTTAGAAAACATACAAAGCAGAAATCGTTCATTCAACTCTGCCTGAGAAAACAACACATAAAGTAGAAACGAGAGGGTGACGTGTACATGACAACAGCAAAAAAGCTCAATTCTCATTTTCCTCGGGACTCTCATTGGGAGGGGCCGAGAAGGTCCCCAGCTTCTCTTGCTGCCAGGGCAACGGTCCCAAACTAAGGAGACTGGAATGAATCCTGTTTCTCTGGCGGTTCAATCCTGGGATGAGGTCAGCCATCAACCCTAGCTAGAGTTTGAGAGAATCGTTCCAAATGCTCAAAGAGAAGGGAATCGACCCTTCAATAGGGTACTCCAAGGAGAAATCTACACTAACGCACCTCCTTTCTCTCAGCAGTATCTCCTCCTCAGCCTTCTGCCTCATCCAAATGGGGCTAAGGGAGGGCTCAGGCGACCCCCATCCTTTTGCCCGGCAAAGGTCCCTAGTAGGTGTCCTCCTCTGCCAGCCTGGTATACGGCGGGGAAACGGGGCACCTCCGGAGCCGCTGTGGAGAACCAGCGACCTGAAGACGCACCAAGGAAAAGAAGTGGGAGGGAAAGAAGAGAAGCCCAAGAAAAAAGTGTAAGTTCGAGGGGCAGACAGAGAGCGTAAGTCCCAGGAGAGCAAACAAGGAGGTTGCAGGAGAAGGCTCTCTGAGCCGGCTCTTACCGTCTGTGGGAGACGCCATCTTCCAGCCCATGTCACGTGACGTGGCCAACCGTCGGCGGGAAAGCGGACCCAGATAAGCCACGCCCCCAAAGAGAAATCCTATCCCCAACTCGCAGGCTGTCTCATTTCCCCGCCCCGAGGGCAGTCTTCGCCTAGCCCCGCCTCCAGCTCTGACCACACCCCTTTCGCAGTAGAAGAGGTCGAGAGACTAAAAAATTCTTGGATCTTATTTACTTTCCTCAGTGAGGGGGCGGGGCCAATGTCGTGCCTATGGCCAATCAGGGTTCCCGATTAGGGGGCGTCTTCCCCTTGTGCTCAGTATAGAGTACCCAAGTCAGGGGTGTCTTCGCTACCTCCGCCAACAGAATTTGCTGAGGTGGGAGCTCTTCCACTTCTGACCAATCGCATATCCGCAAGATAGGGACTGAGGGGGGGTGGAGCCAGGTGTTTGGACATGTAATTGGCTAGGGGGAATGGCTCTCTCCAACACGTTGGAGAGGCAAGGCCAGGCCGCGGTAGTGCTCCTGGGGAATCACTCTCTGTAGGGGCTCTCAGAGGAGAAGAGGCGGCAGAGAACCATGGCGGTGGCGGCAGTGCGGATCCGGATCCTGCAGGCGAGTGAGGGTGGCGCCGAGGGATAGCGAAGCTAGGAGCTGGGTCTTTTCCGGCCACTCTCTGAGCCAACCCCTTTTTTGGCCGACCCTCCTGTTTGCCCTGGACTCGTGCGGCCCTATCACCCTCTCTCCGTATCTGCCCTCCTTGGATTCCGCCCTGGACTATCTCCGCTGGATTCCCGCCCTTCTAAGTTCTGAACCTCCTCTTTTCTGGCCCTGGCCCACTGTCCTCTTCCAGCCCTGTCCTATCCTTACTGTCACTGCCTTGCCATCCCCTCTCCGGCCGCCCGCCGGCTTTCCCTTTCCCCTCTGCTCCAGACAAATCCCTTCCCCCCCGAAACCCCTCTTTCTGGTCACCTTTCTTAAAGCTCTTTCACCTGCGGGGAACTTTCGGATTGTTCCCTTCCCCTGCCCTACTTCACTGTCTGTACTTCGAGGCAAAGAAGGAGGCGGCACACGAGGAGCGAGGGTCAGTGACTGAACTTTGAATCTCCTTCTAGACGTGTACACTAGGTTTTACCTAAAAGCAACCATTTGCTGAGTTGTTTTCCAGCTATGGCTCTTTGTCTTTTCCACAGGCAGTCCCTTTTCGTGCCAAAACTTTAAGTTAAACTTTCTCTCAGCAAAGTTACAGTGTTCATGTTGGTTGTAAATAAGGACACACAGTTATGCTACTAGTACGTTCCAAGCACATGCAAGGGACTAAACATTTGTAAAACAACTGGTAGAAAATGGGAGCCAAAAAAGATAACAAGTGTTAAATTCCAAGTTCCTGCCGCACAGTTAGTTCTTAGTGTGCCAACACACCCTCAACTGGGAGATGGGATCCTCTCTAAAGCCAGCACAAGGAGAGGTGGGAGCGCTGCAGGAGCTGCATGCCTAACGCTGTGATTCCAACTCTGTTCATAGCCTGTCCCCTGTTGTTCACAGCCTGGCAAGGACTTAGAATATGAGGCAAGATTTATTGCAGGTAACATTTCTCCAGCTTGCAAGAAACAACATAGCCTCTCTCACTCAACATATCCAACCTAGAAACTTACTTCTTCCTCTATATTGCTGGATTTTCAGATAATATTAGTATTTATCAGGCTTCAGTGAGTTCCACTGCAGGAGCTTATGCATTTTTAAGATTCTTAGAGTCAGCAAAGGTCTGTGTTTGAATATGCTATTTAATGAGTTTGGAGGGTGGTTTGGAAGGGCTTGTCAGATGGGCCAGCTTCCCTCATGTGTTTTTTGCTGTGATGCTAGTTCTGTCTTTCTAGTATCTTTTTAAATACACAAACTTTCCACCCTATATTTTCCATTATACCAACTTCTCTTTGAAGCCTATTACTGAAATTGATTTTTTTCCTTTGCCTCCCTGCCATCACAATTAGTCACTGAAAACCTTAAGAAGATACTTTGTCCTTTGAATCAAAAAGAAGAATCTCCCTTTCCATGTACTTTAATTTGGAAAGAGACAATATTTTCTGATTCATTTGAGGAAACTTCTGAAGTTGACCTGGAAAACCCAGAAATAGTATTAGCCAACTAGGAGTTACTGTAACATGGAACTTCAATAAAAAGTAGTCTAGATTCTGGAAGTTTTAGAGAACTATTAAAAGGATCTGTAAAGGAGAGAGTTTATATTTTCAGTAATTTTAAATATTCAGCTTATCTTCTCTATTGTGGTGGCTAGTGAAACTTACCTAGAACTGATTCTTATGTAATTATCACTCTCATTCAGACATAAGAAAACCAGTCTTAAGGAGACCCAGTGACATGCCTCAGTGATGTGGTTTAAACACCATAGGCCTCACAATCACACCTGGATTCTGTCCCAGCTCCACCACTTCTAGTTTTAAGAATACTTGTGAAGATTAGAATTAATGAGTATAATGAAATATATTACCTGACACTTAAGGTCATCCAAGGTCTCCCAACTAGCAACTTCTGGGGCTGAGAATTCAAGACTTAAGTCTTGGCATTTCTTTGTGTCAGGCATGATCCCAGGTTTTGGGAAAGGAGAGGTAAGTAAAGTACTCACTGAAGCTCCCTTATTGTAATGCAATGATAAGTGCTTACAGTAGGAGCTCAAAGGGTACTGCGTTCCTTGCCCCTTCATGCTCCCTCTAGTACCATAGAGGACTGCAGGAACAGAGGGAAAGAACCTCAGACTCAACTGTGCAATGCAGGAAATGTTTCCAAAAGGAGTTGGCTCTGGTCAACCGAGTCTTACAAGATGAGCAGGTCTTTAGCCAAGGGAAGAAGAAAGTTTGTGGTAAAGGAAATAGCAAGAATTGAAATAAACATTAGAGAGCAAGAAGTTTTGTATGCCTGGACATAGAATAGTTTCTTTGGCAATGGAGCTAATGAATGTTTCTTGGGAAGTGAAGAAAAGATAGGAGGTCTAACCTGTCAAAAATTATATGATAATGTTTTATCAGATATTGTTAAGAGTGCCTTCTATGCCCTCTTAACAATGGGGAGGCTGTGTACAAGTGAAAAAATAAAACTAAGACCTAGAATGCTCAAGTTGGCTGATCCATGCATTTTCTGCCCTATAAGAGAGTACATGAAACAAAATTAATATCAAATAATTGCTTAGGAGTTCTCATTCTTTCATTCTGCAAAATATTACCAAGTGCTTACTCTATTCCAGGAATGGTGTTTAGGGCTGAGGACACAACTGTCTAGTGATTTAAGGGGAGAGAGACTTAACAATTAAGCAAACTATTATTTCATAATGTCATAAGAGAAAATGAGGAATTCAGGTATTTTATGAACTCCATAGTGAAGTACTTAGCCTAGACCTTACAACTTTGCTCCTTCTCTTCTCACTCTCAAGAGTTAACCTTGTTTTTCCTGTTTCAGAGGAAACAGGAACCATCAGATGAGAACTCCCTCAACGTTCTACCAGCAAACCTGCAAAACTGACTGGTCTCATCCAAAGTGATGGCTAAGTGGGGAGCTAAGTAATAGGAGTGAGCCAAGAAAATGGAATGAAACAGTTTCAGGCAAGAGGGTACAACACATGCAAGGGCGAAAAGAGCAACAAATCATGTTCCAAAGAGCTGGAGCATAGAGAGCAAGGAGGGAAGTGGCAAGCTATGAAACTGAAGAAGCAGACATTATATAGTGTCTTCTAAGCAATATAAAGATTAGTCTTTATGCCAAAGGCAGTGGAAAGCTGTTAGAAGGTTTTAAACAAGGGAGTGATCTGACCAGATTTGTGATTTAGAAAGGTCCTCTAGCTATGGGAAGGAAACCAGATTCAGAAGGTTTAAGATTGGAGGCCAGGAGTTCTGTTGGGAAACAGTTAATGAATTCTAGGTGAGAGTCAATGATGGTATAGACTGGGATGATGGCAGGACAGGTAGAGAAAAAAGTATATTCCAAAAACTTCTACTAAGATGGATTGTGAGGCCTTGTTTGATTCACTGTGGAGAGAGAGGGAAGAGTTGGGGTGACATGAAGGTTTCTGCTTGGACAACTAGGGAATAGTGGCCCTGTTCACTGAAGGTGGGCTAGAAGAAGCAGAGCAGGTTGGTGGGAGGAGAGGAAGAGGGCCAACCCTTAAGGAACTTGAACGGTTAGCGGCCAGGTTAAAGAAGATGAGCCAGCAAAGAATGCAGAGAAGTGACATAAGAGATATACCAGGGCATCACAGAAGACAAAAAGGTGTGAAAAGGTCAAGTACAAGGAGGACTGAGAAGAGTCCATGGGATGTAGGAAATCCCTGTCGTTTGGTCATGAACGCTGGAGGGGGTTGAACAGTTAGTAGGAAATGAGGAAATAAAGGTAATTAGTTTTGAGAATCTTTGCTATTGGATGGAGAAGGATTTAAGTTAAAAGAAAGGATAATCCATGGAAGCAGCTGGGGCAGCAGGCAAGGTTGGCTTCAGAGTACAGGTGCAGAGATTAGCCTTAGATCAGAGGAAAGACACATCTTCGGTCAGTCCACAGATATTGATTGTGCACCTCTGTCTCCCAGTCACAAAGCTTGCTAGGTACCTCCTCCATCATAAGAGGAAGGGAGGAAGAAAGGGTGGGTATGTGTCAGTTTTGTATATTTGCTAGTAGGAAGTTAAGGAAGTTCTCATCTGATGATTTCTGTTTCCTCTGAAGTAGGAGAAACAAGGTCAGCTCCTGAAAGTGAGAAGGGAAGCAGCAGAGTGGGAAGTTTTAAGAGAATTGGTAGGTTTTGAAATAGCAAGGAGAACAAAAAGGATTTATAATATAATAATAATTTTTAACAAGCACCAACTACTTGCTAGCTATTTTTAAAATATGAACAAAATTGATGACAATAATTCTGTAAAGTAGGTGAACAAGACTAATGCAGCGCCAATCCTCATAGAATTTAGTCGTTTAGGTAATAGACAAGGGCCCAGGCAGTTACGACACAGATAAACTGATAGCGGAAGTACTGACTGCTGTGGGAGTACAAAAAGGGGACATCTGCCTTGTCTGGGCAGGGAGGGCAGTGAGGTTTCCAGTGGATC